TATACTCATAATCCAAGTGGGGATCATTGGACTGCGTTGAGGCGGTTACTCAGATATTTGAGAGGTACCATTAATTATGGTATATTTTATAGTGGGTTACCCGTTATACTAGAGGGATACAACGATGCCAACTGGGTCTCTGACTCAGATGAGATAAAATCCAACACTGGATATATATTCACCCTTGGAGGTGGTGCCATTACGTGGAAATCAATCAAACAAACTATAATTTCTAGATCCACTATGGAGTCCGAGCTTATTGCTTTGGAAGTGGCTACTAGTGAAGCAGAGTGGTTGAAAAATTTCTTAGCAGAAATTCCGGTTGGTGCAAAACCAACACCATCTGTGTCTATTCATTGTGATTGCAGAAGTGCAATAGATACTGCTAAAAAATGTGTTATAATGGGAAGGATAGACACATTTGTTTAAGACATAAAGTCATTAAACGATTATTGAAGAATGAAATTGTGTCCATTAATTTTGTGAGGTCACAAGAAAATTTAGCGGATCCTTTGACAAAAGACCTAGGACGAAAATTGATAACCGAAACATCTAAGGAAATAAGACTTGTGTCACTTTGAAAAATGGGAATGTGAACCCAACTTGTGTGATTGGAGATCCCATGAAGCAAGTTCAAATGGGTAATAACAAGTCTTCCATTTAGTTCTGCTAGCCTAACTAAAATTGCCCATTTCCATGATGTGAGATATAGGCTAGAAACTGCATTCTTTGAGAGGGTGAGCTAAAAGCTCTTAATGATTATCATAGCCCTTAATGTTAGAGTGGTGTGCAAAAGCGGTACACACTTGATGATATCACCTATATGAGAGTGAGGTGGGGCCGCCTCCATGGAGCATGACAAAACTTCTAGAGCACTCATGAAAACCAAACACGTGCATGCCCTTACGGCACACAAACGGCGTAATAACGAGAAATTGTGTGGGGTGAGACACAACCGTTAAGACCCTGATTTACCAATAGTAGCTTGTTGGTTTCAAGAAACTATACGTTTCACCAAAAGCTCAGTTTATTAAGACTTAATCGTCTCGGTTAGGTTTCAAGTCTACGAACACCAAACTTAAAGTCTCGTTCCTTTAATCCAGCAGAAATTTTCTAAACTACTTTCAAAATCTAAAATTATTCATTTGAAATATGTGGGGGATTGTTGGAAAATTGATAGTTTTTCAAATGAATAATTTTTACTTGATTACTTGTTAATTTAATCAGATTTTACAATTAAAATTTTACACGTCACTTTGAGTGTAAAGGTTTGTGAGTTGCCGGAATTATCTTTATTAATAACAACTTACTTTAAGAAGAATGCAAAATGATTATTTTATCAAAAAGTAAATGTTCAACTCTTGGCCAGTAAGCTTTCAAAGTAATAATGGCTCTAACGTTAAATTTTAGTATGAAACGTTTTTCTTGAGCCTACATTAAATAATACTCCCAACGTTAAGTATTAGAATGTTAGTTCTAAATGCAAAATTTTCACCTGAGCAACGTACGTTGTTTGCATGTATATATATGTGTGTTCAGCTAGCCACTTGAGATAGATAATTTTGAAGTAAAACAACCCCTAATATTTTCAGTCTACTGGATTAATATAATTTTTCACTCTCGTTGTTCTGTTACCGGCTTACGCCGAAGAGCTCGTTTTATCTTGGGGAAAGGTTTTCGCTAGTCGGAAATACTTTCTTGAGGACAACATTTATGCGACTCGAGCTATATTATTTTCTAATGTTTTTTTGCAGGTTTATCCAACCGATTCCTCCAACAAAGACTACTCGAGGAATGAGATAAAAATACAAAAGGTGAGAGTAACACCTGTAGTAGATAAGATGTAAGAGTCTCGATTGCAGTGTTTTGGTCATGTGCGCAGAAGAACAAGTGATGTATCTGTTAGATGAGTTAAAAGTTGGGGAGAAGAGATGGGGAGGAGAGGAAGATTTGAACCCAAACAGACTTAGATTAAAGGAATTAGGAGTGATACGATTCTTCTTGGATTAGATGAGAGTATGACATTAGATAGAGTAAAGTGAAGAATGAATATTTACGTGGAGGATTGATTCCCCATTTTTCTCTCTTTTTCTCTTTCATCTTTGTCTTCTTTATCTGCTTATGTTCTTTATCCTTTTGTCCTTTTTGCTCCCTTCATCCCAAAAAGATTCATTAAATTGATTTTTTTTGTCAATAATGGCAATCTACATTGACCAACGATATTTTTAATACGAAATTATTTTGAATATGAAAATTATATCAAAATGTTCCTTATTCAAAATATTTTCATACAAGTATAAAATTTATAAATTTTACGGAGTATACAAATATAATTTAAGTTAGGCTAAAATATGTTTCCCATCCCTATAAATATGGAGTGTTTTGTTTTAGGTCCCTGCAAAATAAAAAAATTGATATGCATCCTTAAAATATCCAGGGTTAAAAACCCTGATGTGGCCGTTAAATCTCTCCGCTGGCTTATCCCATGTCAGGGCAATCATCCTACCCATTTCCACCTCATTCTACACTCAAAATTATATCATTAGTTTATCTTTATAATTAATAATTAATTAGGGTTATGATACAAGTCAGGCTGCCAAGCGTAGAATGTAGAAGTAGGCAACGAGAAATGTATAGCTACACATATTTAAAGAGAATAGAATGAGAGTAAATGGGGAAGAAGATGATTGTTTATTCATTGCTTAACTTCAACTGAGTTGTACATCAAGTATATAAATCGATCAAAGTCTCAACAAGAAGCTAGCTAATTACAAACTAACTCCTAACTAACTTTGACACATGTCTTCTTTTTATTAGAGTTATGTAGAACATGTTAAGAAATGAGCTTCTTCGGTTAAGCTGAACTAGCTTTCTTGATTCAACTGCATCAATACTCCCTCCTTCACAACTGTCTTGTCCTCAAGTCACACTATTATAAAAGCCAAAGATATAAAGCCTTGATAGAATCTGACCACTCCCAGGTTGCATCCTCATTTCTTTGCCCCTTCCATTGGCTCAAAAATTTGATCCTAGCTGAGTTACCATATTTCACCATCTGTCTTTCCAAGATAGCAATAGGCTCCACAACAGTCTCCTTGGATAGTCCATGTAGTCATTTTGGTATATAAGGTCTGGCTGGAAACTATCCCCCTAAACTCAGTTAGTTGAGATACATGGAAGGTGTTATGGATTCTAGCTTCAGCTGTCAGTATTAATTGATAAGCCACTTTTCCTACCACCTTGCTTATTTTTAAAGGACCATAAAACTTTGGAGACAATTTATCATTAATCCTTAACTCCACTGATTTCTACCTATAAGATTGCAATTTGAGTCAAACCTAATCTCCCAACTCAAACTTCCTCTCAGACCCGTGCTTATCAGCCTGAACCTTCATCATATTTTGTGCCTTTTCCAACTGAAACTTAAGCACCTTAATCATGGTCTCCCTTTGTTGCAGTGATCGGTAAACTACCTCAACCTTAGTTTCTCCAACAAAATTGGGTAAATGCAAAGGTGGAGACCGATTGTATACAACTTCAAATGGAGTCATTTGAATAGATGAATGAAATGAAGTGTTATACCACCACTCAGCTAGAGGTATCCACTCACACCAATCATTTGGCCTATCACTACACATGCACCTCAAGTAGTTTTCAAGGTACCTTTCACAACTTCAGTCTGGCCATCGGTTTGTGGATGAAAGGAAGTAGACAACAACAAGTCTACTCCTTGTATACTGAAGAGAGCAGTCCACAAAGTACTAAGACATATAGAACCTCTATCACTCACAATGGTTCTAGGCCAACCATGCAACTTGAACACATTATCAAGGTAGATTTGTGCCACTTCAGTTGCTAAAATTTCTTTATTTCATTGTGTTTTTGAGACCATTACAAAATTTTCAAAAGACAGTTTGATAAACTATTAAAATCTTTGTTTTTATAGAAATGCTTGATGTCTTCATAGTGTTTTTGAGACCATTACAGATAAAATTGTTTGTATATGGACCATTCAAATTGAACTACTCTAAACAGGTGGTGTAAACACACACCAAACAAGGTAAATGTGAGATTCAACTTTAAGCAATGACTTATGAAATCTCTGTCTCTTTCTAAGGTGAGATCAAAGCAATAGGTGTCCGACCGGAGGCGGACTAGGTGTCAAACACACAAAGTGTGCCAAAGCAGTTTTCTTGTTTTTAGGTTGTTTTTACTTGGACTATAATTCGTCCCAGACCAGACCAGACCAGACCAAAATAGACCAGACCAGAATAGACCAGACTAAAATAGACCAGACAGACCAGACCAGACCATATTTTATCATCATCATCATCATCATCATCATCATCATCATCTTCGTCGTCATCATCATCATCATCATCATCATCATCTTCGTCGTCGTCATCATCATCATCATCATTGTTATTGTTATTATTATTAGTATTATTACTATTATTACTATTATTACTATTATTATTTTTAATTATAAATGAATAAAATATAATTATTTATGGATTATAATATATATAAAAAATAAAATCTTTATGAAAAAAATATAAAAAATAAAATTTCAGACCAGACCAGGCCATATTTTATTATTATCATCATCATCATCTTCGTCGTCGTCGTCGTCATCGTCATCATCTTCGTCATCGTCGTCGTCATCGTCATCATCATCATCATCATCATCATCTTCATCGTCGTCATCGTCATCATCATCATCATCATCATAAGCATCGTCGTCATCATCATCATCATTGTTATTGTTATTATTATTACTATTATTACTATTATTACTATTACTCCGTATTATTTTTAATTTTAAATGAATAAAATATAATTATTTATGGATTATAATATATATAAAAAATAAAAATTTTATGCAAAAAAAATATAAAAAATAAAATTTCAGACAAGACCAGACGAAACTAAAACAGATCAGACCAGATCAGATCAGCGAATTAAAACATCCTTATCGTTCATTTTGAAATTCTCTAAAAAAAACTGCTCATTTTGACCGGACCAGAACAGTGTTTTTCCGGGAGAAGTGTTGTCCTCGTCGCCATCTTTGGCTCTTCAACTCTCAGCTCCACCCAGAACAGATCGGATTCGAATTTAATACACGATACACCACCACGTCCTGAGATTATACATATACATATGATTCCTTCAATTTTGGTTACACTTTCGTGGTTGTTACTTTGGAGCTCTGGAGCATCTGTATTCGTTTCGGCTGGATCCCATCGAGCCATTCTCCGGACGATCAGCGATGACAGCGTTGGGGGGAAGCACGACTACGCCGTGGAATTGAATGCCACTAACTTCGATACAGTTCTGAGAGAGACTCCAGCTACCTACGCTATTGTTGAGTTCTTTGCTCACTGGTCAGTTTCAATGTCTTTTATCATTTTCCCGTATTTAATTGCAATTTATCTCGTTTCAGAAGATGTGTAGCTCATGAGATTGTTGGAGAGTTTCTTGTTATTATTACATAATATGTATACATAATCATACGTAGGACAAACATCCTGTCCAGCCATCTGGAATTTTTGATGAAAATTTGTGAGAATGTTCTTCACGAAGAGTAGATTAGGTTCACTAAATTTCAGTTTAAAATTCAACCGGAAGTCCGTTAAAAAGATTATAGAAAAAACACTGCATTATGTATATATATTTGGCGCAGTGTTTTTCAATAATTTATTTAACTGACTTACCGATTGAAATTTAAGCTGAAATTTTGTGGACATAATCTACCTCAAATGGAGGTAGATTATGTCGGAAACTACCTCAAATGGAGGCGGCCGGACGGAAGGTCTTGTCCAGATGGCTGGACAGGATCATTACATGATACATATAGTTGTTTTATCTGAGCTAGTGTATTACATAGTTATGCACCTGAAAGTGTTTGAATTTTATTAGAGCTACTATGGAAATGAATTTTGGAAATTGTTTTGTTAGGATATGATTCAATATTTCCAAATACTTTTTGAAGTTCTAGAGAATTCTAGAACTATGCAGAGATGAGTAGAATTCTCTAGAATAGTGTGGAGTTATCTAGAGAATATAGTATCCTCTAGATGTGTGTAGAATATTGTGGAAGAAAACATTCTAGTCTAGAGAAGTGTAGAAATCTCTAGAAATATGTGGAAGGTTGTGGAATAGTCTAGAGTGTTCTAAATAAGTGTGGAGTCATCTAGATTCTTTAAGAAGATCATGTAAGCTTGTGGAGACTTCTTGGGCGAATCTAGAATGTAGAGAGGCTTGTATAAGAGTCTTCCTAGCTCGTGATTTTGGAAGAGGTCGAGGGTTGTGTTTACCCAACATGTTTCTCGAGGACAATAGCATGAAACAAGCATTTGATGGTGATAAATTGATAAATTTTCCATGACAAATATTTGAACTAAAGCATTATTAATTCATGAAACATGAAAGGATCTGATTGGTTAGGAAATTAGTCAACACTCGGAGAAGTAATTGGCAGTTTCCTTAAATCTGGGATTTGACCATTGATGATTTTTTATTTATACTTTTTGCAAAGTATCATTTATTTTCCTGTTTCCTGCACAAATAGTACTCATGCTATGTGAGGCCTATGTGGAAATTTTTCTGACTGACAGCCTGATTGAACTTGGTTATTCACTTATACAATGGAAATAAAACCAGGGAAAATAATTTCATGGAAAATGTTTCCTACGGAATTATTTTAATGGTAAAATAAAAATGGATTTTGGTATAACTATGGGGAATTAGCGTTACATTTCTGAAAAATCTTTTCGAACATTTTAATAGTTAAGACTCTCTGGTTAGATTTAGCAATTGAGTTATATTAAAAGAATTTAAATTCACATTCTCCTGTTCCACTTTTAGTTATCATTCACATTCAAAGAAATGCGATGTATTTTGGGTTGAGAAATGGTTTCATTGTATGATTTTGTTCTCATAATATTAAATTTGAGCTCTTTTACTGTCCTTTCTGTATTTCGAATGTTGTCATTTTTGCTGGCCTCAAAACTGTAAAAGAAGTAAATTAATTTACATCAAGAATAGCAAATAAGCAAGTCATTTCATTTTATTATTCCTTTCTTAAAATATTAGTATTTGTCATGCAGGTGCCCTGCATGCAGAAATTATAAGGTATCTTGATGGTTTGTCTTGGTTGAGTAATCATTACAATACTTCTCAATTCTTATCTTTGGAACAAAAATATGACAGCCACATTACGAGAAGGTTGCCCGGCTATTTAATGGAGCAGATGCTATTCATCCAGGAATCATATTGATGACAAGGGTAGACTGTGCAGTTGGGGTACTATTATTTACTACTACTATACTTCTGATTTCATAAATTGTTCCAGAACATTAAAAAAACAACAGTAGATTAAAGAGGAAGAGATACCGGAGAGAGAAAAGTGAGACAAAAACCAATTATATAATAAACTGGCTAGTTGATTTCCAACTGTGAAATTCCTTCTGTATCTTTGAGCTGATGGTAAACACAGTGGTATTGATAATACAATCTAGAGTCATGAAAACCTTCACTGTTTCTTTGGTATTGCTTGGTTTTTCCTTTTCATGCTCACAAGGGAGAGAAAACTTTGTAAGTGCATTCTGTACTGTATAATCAGTACATCTTCCTTTTTATAGCATTACATCACCATAGTGAATTAATGTGCTTAATGCAGTAGTTTTTAATAATAAGGGTTACTCTTCCAATCTCCCTGAACGCTAGTGCATGTTATTGGTGAATCCGTTAGTGACTGGGATATATTCTATTATGGGAAACAACAAAGCAGTATTATAAAAAACCTAGGAAACAAAAAAGTGTGTAAAACTTGATTATAAACTGTATAGGGTTAAACATGCAAATACACCCACAGTTTATAACTCATCGAGTCCACTAGATAAATACAAACAAAATACATTTTACTCTAGTTGTAATAGAAGCTTTACTTATACTTCATATACTGGTACGGTAATTGAGTATATTTTTAATTGGGCTGAAATTTTCTGGTCTGGTAAAGGTATGTTTTGTGTGTGTTTTACTATTGTCTATGTTTATCTGGTCTGATTTGGTCTGATCTGGTATTTTTAAATATGATCTAGTCTGAGACTGAAATCAGTCCTACTAAAACATCCTAAAAGTCTTAACTACCGGTTTCTGAAACTGAGGATGAGATACTGAGCGGCAAGTGTACACGAGAAACTCCCAAGTTAACTGTTAAGTCTGTTTTGGGGCCGGAAACGTACTGATTCGGAAACAGGTTTCAATCTTTTTAAAACTAAATAATGGCCCTAACCATTTTAGGGTGTTTCCCTTTTGGAAACCTTTCAGAATCAGTAAAACACTGCTCTTAGAATTTTATATGCATCTCATTTTTTATTGACATTTGACAAATACTTCTTCCAAATAAGCTATTACTTCGCTTCTCTTAAAAGCTTTACGTATATGTTATCTTTGTTCTCTTAAGCATGTATGTAAAAAGTGCCTCTTTTGGTGATTAAAAATCTCTAAATTCATTTATACCGTTTTTGTCATATTATTGTATATACTTCCCTTTTTTGAATGAAAATGATATTGTATATACTTCCCTTTTTCAGTTACTTTTATCATACATTAAACCGATTCAAAACATTTTCAGTTGATTCTTATATTCCTTTTCCATTTTACTTTTACCCAAATGCATGTTGGTTTTCACTTTGATCAATAAGCTAAATTCCATCTTTGGTGGAAACAGTGTTCTTTTCATAGGCTATTGAGTATTGACCTAGTTAAAGTGAAACACTGGCTTGTTCTACACTCTAGTGAATGCTTTTGGTAAATAAGTTAGTCACAAAGACATATTCATTTTTATTCTATGATGCACGGAAATGGGAAGCAACAAAGCAACATTCTTCAAAAAACAAGGAAACAGAAAAATGGGTGGAACTTGATTATAAAAGATACAGCGTTAAACTTGCAAATACACAAGCAAAATACACCTTACGCCATATCTTAAAGAAAATATTACTTATATTTCATATATTAGTCTGATAAACTGACAATTAAACATAACTCTACCTGTTTCTGAAACTGGGATGATGAGATACTGACCAACAATTGTGCCATGACAGCACGAGAAACCTCAAGTGTACTCTCAAGGTTTGTTATGGGGCCAGAAACACTTATCTGATTCAAAAACAGGTTTGAAACTTAAAAAGGCTGCTGATATGGAACAAACCATTTGAGGGTGTTTTCTTAATGGAAACTATTCCAAATCAGGAAACCACTGCTCTTTGAAGTTTACATACATAACCTTTTTATTTTAAAAATGTTTTTTCCACATAATCTATTTATGTGGCTCTCTTCAAAGCATTATGCACATGTTTTGATGCTGTTCTTGTGAACATTTAGTGAGTGTTTTTTGGTGAATGTAAACATTTTTTCTTTAAATCTCTTTTACTGTTTCTATTTTTCATATTATTGTATTATTTGTGTAATTACGCTTTATTCGGTTGCTTTTATTTTACTTTACAATGATTTAAACAACATTGAATTACTCTTGTAACTTACATTGTAGTTATTAGTTAAGCACTTAAGCCAAATCTATTTTGGTTTTCACTCTAATCAACAAGGTAAGTTCAGTTTTTTGGTGGAAAAGGGTTCAAACAAGGTAAGATCCATTTTTTGGTTGAGAAGGGTTCAATTGGTAGGTAATTGACCCAGCGAAAGTGAAACATTGAGTTGTTCTCTGGGGGGGGGGGGGCATGCCACACTGAATTTATATTACTCTAGTGTCTGGTCAATTATGTTACATGCAGAGATTACTTTTACCTTATTGCTTATATGTTTTTGTTTGACTTTCTTGGCAGCACAGATAAATTCAAATCTTTGTGATAATTTCTCTGTGGGGCATTACCCGATGCTTTTCTGGGGGCCTCCTACTAAGTTTGTTGGTGGAAGTTGGAAGCCTAAGCAGGAAAAAAATGACATAGTTCCAATTGATGATGGGCGAACATCGAGTCTATTGTTAGAGTGGATCAATAAGAAACTGGGAAGGTAAAAGAAGTGTCTGGGGCTTCTAGTCACCTAGTTTTTGTGAATTCAAAATTTTGTTCTGTACGTCTATTGGGAAGGAAAGTATGATGAGGCCTGCCCAATGTCACATATGGAAACTGCAATACCTCAAGGGTATTTAAGTATATTAGTTTATGATTTTGCCTTTCTTGAACTGGTATTCCTTTTCCCTTGAGTAATAGGAAAATTCAACTTGTTTTGTTTCTGACTCATCACTCATCCATTTGGTTAGTTTGATAGCTTTCATTTGAGTACTGATATATACCATAAAGGAATTAAGAATGCAGTTAATAGGTGCATAATATAAAATCCAATTACTATGTTGTAATAAAGGATATCTGCATTTTTAGGCAACTTATTGTAAAGCTCCCGGATGTGCAGAGTGAGTTCAATGAGTTTAGAAAGTTCTTCACGATATGCTCTTTACCTCTCTGACACTTTCTAGTACCATTTGCCCATCAGCAAGTTCCAATTTCATGCATAGTAGTTTTAACAAATCTCTTTTTAGTACGTCTCAATATCCTTCTTAAGAATATAAGAATGTCCTCATTTTTTCCTTTTATAATCTTAGTTCATATGGCTTGGATGATGTAAAGTACCAGAATGAACAGCTTCAGACAAATATCTCAGATCCCGGGCAGGTTGTTATAAAAAACACGAATGTGAATTTGGTGCTTTGTCTCTTCAGTATGTAAGTTTCTTATGCATGTTTCATATTTTCCTTGTGAAAGATAGCCAGAGCTGTATATGACGTTGAGGAGGCAACATCTACTGCTTTCGATATCATCTTGAGGCACAAGGTCAAATACTAGAGTTTCCAGTGTTTCTAATTTCTCATATTTCTTCATATTACCCATATTGACATTCTATATTGCTTCACCTGTAAATGCAGATGATCAATATAGATACAAGAGCATCACTTGTAAAATTCCTTCAACTTTTGGTTGCTCATCACCCTTCTAGAAGGTTTAAACTCTGCATATTTTGTGTTTCTCTTTGGTAGTTTGTATATTTGGGTACACATGTTTTTTTTGAACCTGTCAATGGGAATTCTCAACTACAGATGTCGAAGGGGTTGTGCAGATATACTCGTTAACTTTGATGATCTATGTCCATCTGATGCTTTGTCAGCAAATGAAGTTCTCAGTTGTACTAAAAAGGGCATTCTAGGGAAGTACCAGATTTGCGGCAACGAAGCACCACGCGGGTATTGGGTATGTCCGTATGTGTAATTGTGTAAAGCTCCTTAATTGTGAGAAGTTAATGGTAGTTGGTTCTTTCAGTGTTGTTGTATTTGAGCAATTGCTTGGTGTGGGTGTTAGCTACTTTGGTCCTTTGACTGCACTATAAATGATCTATGGTCCAATGTTTTTGGCTTCTGAGCATATGTTCCACACACCTTAGGGATATATATAGCACATGCATGCCTGTGTTGAAGGGGGAGCCTTGGCGCACCGTAAGGTGTTGCTATGTAATCAAGAAGTCATGAATTCAAGTCTTGGGAGCAGCTCATTGTTAGAATTGGACGAAGGCTTGCCCTTTATACACCCTTGTGAGGAAGACTTGCTCCTTATATACCCTTGTGGTGGGACCCTTCCCCGGACCCTCTCCTTGCGAGGAAACCTTTGTGCACCAGAGTCCAGACTGCCTTTTTTGATTTACATTTTCATTCGCTCTCATGAGTAGCTCTTGTTTTGCTTAAATTATTGCTAGCAATTTATGTTTTGATTAGTACTTTAAACCATTTTCACCTTCCGTGTTTTAAATGTTGGAGTTGGTTTATATTTTCTCAAAATGTTTAATTAGAAAACTAACTATTTAATCTTTCCCTCACCTGCTCAGCCCCACACTTTAGAACATGAAGAGAAATCATTATTTTTACAGATGCATTTTGATAAGAAGGGCAGCCTTGGTGCACCGGTTAAGATGTTGCTTTGTGACCAAGAGGTCATGGGTTCAACTCTTCGGAGCGGCCTCTTGTCAAAAATTTGACAGGGTAAGGCTTGCCCAGTTGCCCCTTATACACCCTTGTGGTGGGACCCTTCTCCGGACCCTATCCTTGCGGGATGCATTCGTGCACTGGGCTGCCTTTTTTATGTATGATTTGATAAATATCCAACTCAATCTTTCCTATGTTGCACATAATAGATTTCATGCTTGTGATCCTTTCTCGCAAGTTTACATTTAAATTAACTGTCTGTAGTTTTAATAATCTATAGCCATTTTTTGCAGATGTTTTGTCGTGGAAGTACAAATGAAACCAGGGGGTTCAGGTAACAAAGCATTTATATACTTACTCGTTGATATGGGCCCTCACTCCCTCAGTATTTTATGCTCATAAAATATCATATTTGGATATGAAATTTTGTCCCGTAGTTCTATTATTTTCTTCAGCGTAGAGACTTGGAGTGTTGCATAATAAAATACCCATTTAAAGGAAAACAGTTTACCCCCTATAATATAAGTAGTCCCTTTTGCAAGAACTATGGACAAAATTAAATTTCTTCTCATTTGGGTAATTGATCTCCCTCTGAATCTTGTCAGTATTAATCGTAATCCCACTTCTGATTGGTCAATATCTTTTTTTCTCTGGTTCTCTTCCTTTTCTGATGCAGTGAAGACTTTGTCTTCCTGATAGGAATGGGCCTAGTATTAGAGATAATAAGTGGGCCTATTAATTACATAATAATAAGGGGCTTGTACTATAAATAGAAAGGGAGGCTAGGCAAAGGAGTAGGCAGTTAGTAAATTGGGAATAGACTTTTGGAGAGACTGGCACTCTCGAAATTGCCAGAACCCTTCTGTAAAACATTACCCTACTTCAATACAGCTTGATCAATTCTTCGTGATTTCCTACTGTTATTAGTTGAATTATATCAAGGTTCTATCATTGGTATCAGAGCATTACGCTCCTGGTGACTGTAGCATTGATCGGAGAAGTTACGTTAATTCCAGAAATTTCTCGTTTCGAATCGTGAATGGTTAGAACGAGAGGAAGAAGGGAAAAGCGAGTGGAATCGCTGGAGCGAAATCAACAGGAGATGAAATCTAAGTTGGATAATATCGCCAGACGGCTAGCAGCGATGAACGAACAACTCCAGACTAGAAGGCGATCGGGGACGTCAACAACTTCTTTCAGTTCGCAGTCTTCGTCGATAGCAGTTTCCCAAAGTTCATCATCGCGATCCGTTTCTCACAGTCGTCCGCAGAGGTCTTCGCAAGTTTGGTCGCAAACTGCTTTTCCGTCGCAGTTGACATCGCAAGTTGAGTCTTCTCACCATGCGCAAATTTCAGCTACAAAAATGAACTCCATAGATTCTCACCCTACGCAAACTATAGACCTCGTGGAATCAGGAAGTGGATCGCCATTGACAACAATGAAGAAGGATGAGTCAAAGACATATGCACCAATAATTCCTAAGCCAGAATATGATATTACTCAAACCACGGAATTTTCACCAGATAATCTTGAAGATTCAGAAACGCTCAAACCTGATAGTCCCTACGGACAGGAAGGAAATCCTACTGACCACAATGGTCCTGCCTGGGAACTAAACACTATCACAGGGGCTGATGAGGAAGGCCTGTATCGCACATCAATCCTTACTTATGATGATCAGAGGTACGCTCTTGTACTGGTAAGAAACCAAGAATATTTTAAATCTTTGTTGGGTAAAGTTCAAGAACGTGAGTTGGGGGTTATAAGGGATAATATGCACCTTCATTCATCAAAAAGAATTTCGAGAATTTCGGAATGGTTGTATAAGTTTGATGGCTTCATAATTGAGGATGAAATTGCTGTGAAGTCTGTCCAAAAGGGGTTGGGGGTAAGAACTACTGGAATTTGGAAGGAAAAGGTTGGTTATACTACTGATGGTTACGTTGATATCTTCCTGGGGCTTGACAATGAATTCAATTCTGCTATCCTCCAAGCGGCCTTGATAATTGGTGAAAAGGTAAGGAGAATGCCAGTTCAAAGAGAAGGTGCAGGTTTGGACTATAGGTCTTTTAGTGGAATTGAAGGATTAGTCTTCACTCACTCAAATGTCAAACCTAAGATGATAGTTAAGAGCGGCAGTTTGATATTTTCTTCAATTCGGGACTCCTCTATTTCTAGACTGAGATGGGCTGAGAAGTTTAATCTTGAATACCAGTTGGATAAAATCAGTGAGGGCCTGGATTCTACTACTCAGGTTGTTGTAATTGATGTCTACAACAAAGAGCATCTCATGGATTTATGTTTAAAGCCAGAAATTGCTAGTGGTGTCAAAGTTGAGGGAAAGTGGCTGGATGGAATGCACAGTCTTTATGGAACTGTTCAACGAATAGTTTACACCTATATTTTTCCTATGATGCAATCCAAGCAGGAGACTGATTTACAGGATACACAATTAGAAGGGGGTAGCTTGCTTTGGAACCTCTTGGCTATGCTCAAATTTGTAATAAATGTGGTTTTTCAACCGTTAGTCAGGGAATATTTGAAGAGGTGGATTGATCAAACAGTTGAAGTTTGTATGAGTGTTCTTGAAAAGGTTAAAAATGGTTTCTTCTATGATCCATTTAGAGATAAAATTCCTCAGATTAGGTCTGCCTTATGTGAGAGACTGCTGAATTATGATGAAGATCTGTGTATGCAAGTTGCTGTTTTTCTCTATGATGAAGCATGTTGTGCCTTATCCTCCCCAGAGTCTGAAAGAACCAAGTTCCTGGAAAAGATGTTGGAAGAAAAGCCAAGGTTACAAACAAGGAGGCAGATACTGGGATATTATATCATTGATAACATTAAGGAGCATTATGCCACCATGTCCTTGCATCTGTGTATTTCTGTTGTGAAGTACATGTGGAAGAAGATCGAAATAACGAAGTTAAAGGTCCAGAAATCAGTCAAGTATTGGCAAGGAAGAGGTGCAAGAATGAAGTGGAAGTGGAAAATCATGGCTGTTTCCTATCACCCACCTTGAGGACAAGGTGGTTTTTTAGGGGGGAGTAGTGATAGGAATGGGCCTAGTATTAGAGATAATAAGTGGGCCTATTAATTACATAATAATAAGGGGCTTGTACTATAAATAGAAAGGGAGGCTAGGCAAAGGAGTAGGCAGTTAGTAAATTGGGAATAGACTTTTGGAGAGACTGGCACTCTCGAAATTGCCAGAACCCTTCTGTAAAACATCACCCTACTTCAATACAGCTTGATCAATTCTTCGTGATTTCCTACTGTTATTAGTTGAATTATATCAAGGTTCTATCACTTCCACTCTTCGGGTCCTTCCTACAATCTTCAGTTTTGTTTTGTTTCTCAATGACTCAATCATCTGGTAATTGGTGAAATATTAGACTTAGTGTTGAAAATCTATCATTTATGTGCATAATGAAGTGATAGTTTTCTCCATTCTCTTTCATGTGCTGATTTGTCGCTTCTACTCACATGGACTTCTAATCCTAACCACATCTGTACTTGATTTTATATATCTATTGATTAGATATCTGCAAGAAACTTTTTTATTTTCTAGCACTATGAAACGTAAAACATAGGCATATTTCCCAAATAGGACCAAGTATGTTTTCTCCCTAAAATGGGATTTATTTAGCCCTTCTAAAAGAATTAAAGTTTCCCTAAATATGAGTTCACAAGTCTTATTTTGGGAAGAAAACAATGATACACCCCTATTTAATCAAATTTGCTATGTTTTACACTTTTACTCCTATTTTAAGAATTTTCTTGTTCTTTACCTTTATAAATGCACTCTCTATAATTATAAATTTTGGACTCATTTGCACAACCTTTATGATTTGTACAAACCACAACTAAATTAATAATATAATAATATGGGCTGAAAATAGAAAATTTAATCACATATCAATTAAGACCTATAAAGTGGGACAAGGAGTTTTTTTGGTTTTCTGGCAATTATTTGTGTGTTAATTTCCATAATTAGTTGGGTGGTAATTTCGTTTTCTTTGTGCTGTTTCCTCTTAACCAAGAACAAGAACCTTCATATACCATGCAGTTGTGGGTTGTGGTTATTGCTACATTCCCTCTCCGTAAGAGTGGACGATGCAGAAAGTGAGATGGCTTTCAAAACTACATGTGATTTCATACACAACTTTTTCGTATGTCAAGAGTGTAGGGAGCATTTCTATGAGATGTGCTCAAGGTAAGATTATATCAGAGATCATACACTTAAATTCCCCAACAAGTTTAAATGATTTAGCAATGGCCGTTCATTTCAACATTGTTCAAAATTCTAGCCAAATATCAATCCTGGTTGTAATTGAGTCTCATTAGCATGCCACGTTGGCATCCTGTATGTGGAACTCGAACACTCATACTTGATCAAAACAAAAGAGTTGATTATATAAGTGCTTAAATTTTGGCTATGATTGAAATTTGGCTAGATATTTGGTGAAATTTGAAATTCATGTTCATGGGGAGAGAAGTTCATGATCCTTATTTAACCCCTCATTGTATACTATCCATCCATGCTCCAAACCGGCAGGGTTTCTACTCCGTTCCGGAAAGCCCGTGATTTTGCCCTTTGGTTGTGGGACGCACACAACACTGTCAACAAGAGACTGATGAAAGCGGAAGCCTCACTAAGAACAGGTGACCCTAAATTCCCAAAAGCTATTTGGCCATCCCAACAGCTTTGTCAATCTTGTTATCTTGGCCAAACCAAAAAGGAGGGCAACGAAAGCAAGTTGATCAACTGGGATCAAGACGAAGTCTTCAAGTTCTTGGTCACTTATTATGGGAAGACACTAGTTAGTCTTTACAGGGACAAGGAACTTCTTGGAGGTGACGAAAACCCCTCTCTTGAAGAACCGGTAGCTTCGACAAATGCTATTGTCGTTCCGGTGGGGGCCGCATTTGCAATTGCAGTTGCTAGTTGTGCGTTCGGGGCTCTTGCCTGGTTCTGGCGTTCACGACAAAAGAATAGAAAGTATAAATACCTACACTCTCTAAAGAATATATGAATTACTACATCTCAAAAAACAATCATTTTGAGTAAAGGTACAACTTATTTAATTTTATAATTTATGTACAATCACAGACCCTACATTTTTTTTTCATTTTTCAAGACTATAAAGAGTACAACAACAACATCATCCAAGCCTTAATCCCAAAAGATTTGGAGTCCGCTAACATGAATCTCGATACATGAATATTTCGATTCATATCAAAGTGTTGTGACTAAGTGATACTCTTGGCCGTCACGCGTCTACCACAAGTCCACAACACCCTCCTTATCCTGGCTTGGGAAAAACACGATACCAAAAATGATCTCATGACAGAGTTAAAGACTCTAAAGAGTAATTGGCTAAAAATACTTGTCTGGTGGTACAGGAATTTTACTTAAAATTGAAGGTCACTTTAAAACCATGATTGAACTTTTTTTGACAAGAGTTCTTGAATCATTACAATTTTTTGGAGTAAAGATACTGGTGAGGTGGTGAAATTCAACTGAAACCCCCCAAAAGTTAAAATGAATTTGGAGAAGAAATACGAGTTTGTGATTGTGTGGGGGATAGGCAGAGGCTGGCATTGCTTATGTGTTCTGTCTTGCACGAAATTTTCAGGCCCAAAAGAAGCTGGAACTGATGACCCATGTCCGGTTGGTTGAGTGTAGGTTACTATTCAGAAATATGAGTCAGGCTCAGGATAGGAAACAGATAGTTCAGAGGATTGTAAGTTGTAACAAAAGCTTTGATGGGATTTGCATCTCTTACTCCGTAAAACCCCTCTATTTGAGTCATTTTCCTCAAACTTGTGTGTATAGATTTACTTGTGATATACGGAGTATGTTATTTTGGATAAAACTTGATGTGTTATTTCTCACACACAGTATTACAATGGTGAGCATGTTTTGGGTATGGGTAGGCCAAGATTTCAACATCGCATTGGTGGTTGGGGAATCAAACTTACACTACCTCCGTCAGTCCGTTGTAATCTCTTCGTTCCAAAAAAAGTTTGTTTGATATAATGAAACAAGTTACATGTGGGCAAGGTTCAAAATTGTGAACTGTGTACTTGTGGTGTTTTTTATTATTGCATATTGTGTAAGACTACAATGAGGTGTAATATATATAGAGAGAAATGTTCCTACTAGGTTGGCCTGACGGAAATCATCGTTCGGCTGCCTCCATTTGAGGTGTCTTCGTCTGGATTTTTTTGATGAATTTTGTGAACATGTTTTTCATTAATTATAGATTATGTCCACAAAATTTCACTTTAAAATTCATCCGGAAAGTCAATTAAATAAATTATTGAAAAATATTATGTTTGTATGCATATTTTGGGGTTGATGGTCACCCATTGAGCTACACCAACCATCCAAGTAATATCCCAATCCCACCATCCATTAGCCTTTGGGTTACATCCCACTTAGGGCTACACAAGAATAACCCAAACGACCCATTTGATCCAACCCTACTTGGCCATTTTTATTCGGGTATTTGATTTTAAAAAATATCATGGGTTGAATATGTACGAACCCACACCTAGGGATGGACCCGTGCTGGGCCGGTTCCGGTTCGGGCCTGGGCTCGATCGGGCCTTTTTTTTGAAAGGGTGAACCGGAACCGGCTCGGGTAGGCGGCGGTTGCGGCCCGGGCTGGTTATATTTCATTTTTTTAATTTCTTATTTATTTCATCCCCCACCTCCCAAACCCCTCAGAAATACCCAGCCCATCCCAACTAAACCCAGCCCAAACTCAAAAAAAAAAAAGAAAAAGAAAAAAAAAGGCTCGAACTGAGCCTGGCCGGGCCGGGCCGGGCCGATTCGCCTTTTGCTTGAACCGTGAACCGGAACCACTTAACCCATCGGACTTAGGCCTGAACCAGAACCGGAACTTGTTTCCCGGGCCGGGCTGGTTCTAAACAGTACAGGGTCGGTCCGGTTCTAGGCGGCCCGAACCGAGTCCATCCCTAATGGGTAGGGTTGCAGAATTAAAATCTAAAACCCAATAGTAGCCGACCCGGCCGGAACTCCCGGAAATTCAGTTTACTATTATTATGCTACAACGTTTTGTTGGATAATTCCTGTTTAAGATCGATGTGCTCTATCTAAAACTTTATGGTATTGACATTATAAACATTTACCATTTTGACTAGGTGATTAACTGATTATATATATATATATATATATATATATATATATATATATATATATATATGTTTTGGTTCAAATAAGAACACGATCTTATGAGAGAACTGAGAACCCATCTGGACCGTTAGATTTGCTTCAAGTGAAATTATGTGTGCATTAGATGAAACTGTAATGTGCATTAGATGAAATTGAAATGTGCATCACAAAGGGTACGATAGAGTGACATTATGTGCAGTTGAATTGTGCATTACGTGAAATTGAAATGTGCACTAGGTGAAGCTGAAATGTGCAAAATAAAAAGTACGATGTGATGTTGTTTTTGTACTTTTTTTTCTCGCACATATCAGTTTCATCTAATGCACACTTGAGTTTAAATTTTTATTTTGCACATTTCAATATCATTTAATGCACATTTCAGTTTCACCAAATGCACAATTTGGTTCCACATAATACAATCCAACGGTCCAGATTCATTCTCATTTTTCTCCTAAGATCTGTTCTTACCGGAACCGCTCCCTATATATATATATATATATATATATATATATATATATACATATACACATATATATATATATTTATACATATACATATATATATAAATATACATATACATATATATATAAATATACATATACATATATATATAAATATACATATACATATATATTTATATAAATATGTATATGTATATAAATATACATATACATATATATTTATATAAATATGTATATGTATATTTATATATATATGTATATGTATATTTATATATATGTATATATATGTATATATATATGTATATATATGTATATATATATATATATGTATATATATATATACATATATATATAAATATATGTATATGTATATATATATGTATATGTATATTTATATATATATGTATATGTATATTTATATATATGTATATATATGTATATATATATATGTATATATATGTATATATATATATATATATATATTTATATATATATATATATGTATACTTCGTACGTTTGCTTCTAAATTATTTTCCTTTTACGCAAGAATTTTTTGATACTATTGTCCAAAGTTTACTCTTATAAAGATCTCTAAAGAAGACCAAATGTTGGCATGTTGGCATGAGAACGACATTTCTTTCGAAAGATACCCAAGTCTCATCTTATTGTGCGAACACTCATGCTTTTTGACCAGGGCTCCCATTCTCTTTTTCGCAAGGTAAGAGGTCTAGTTATACTAATTAATTTTTCAATTTTTCAGATTTTAAATAGACATTACCACATTCTAATCTCGGCCTCACCAAGGAAAATTAGCAATTAAAGTTCAATTAGTCACAGTGAATCCATGCCTACAATGCAATCCTTGGAAATATCAAATTCTTAAAAAAATGACTGCTCTTACCCCATTTGGGGCATAGGAAAGTGCCAAAAATTGGCTCCTACAGAAACTCCCTAAACTTAGCAAATTAACCCCCTAGTTCCCTAAACATCAAAACTTTGTCAGAAATATTCACGGGGTAAGGAAACAAAGGTCACATGGCTATGGAGCTTAATTACTCAGGTACAGAACAAAATGGTCAGGCTCAGAATGGCTTCTTCTAAAGGACTTATTCAGGTGGGATAGACGATTTAATCAATTCAATTGGTGACTATTGCCTTCATCCTCTCAACAACTAGCTCATCGTGCAACAATTTTAGCCAAAACACATTAAGGATTTCCTAAAAATATAGTCAACTCACTAGCCAGCTCACAAAGATACATTTTAAAGAATAATTTTCAAATAATTGACATAACTTTTCCTTGAATGTACCATTAACACTTTCGCATGCTAACTCAAGAAATCTCATGTGACAACTACTGCCCGGATGCTCAATTCCTTCCCCCACACTTAAACGTTGGCATCGCCCTCGATGGCCAAACATGCACTATGCACAAGGGATAAAGGGAAAAGAGTCACGCGTGCTCAATTCTCAACTCAAGTTACGAAATACACACAAGCGAGTAAGAGTCAAAGAACTTCCCTAGTAGCGTTGGTCGGTGCAGAAGCAAACTGAGTCAATGTAAACTGTGGCTCATCATCCTGAAATCACAATTTGAGCTGCAAAAACAAAACACAAAAACACAAAAAAACAAAGACAATGGCTAAAATGAAAGTGCAGAAAAAAGTTTGGGTTGCCTCCCAAGAAGCGCTATTTTTAACGTCGTTTGCCCGACGCAACTACCCCACAAAAAACTCAATTAAACACACTTCCACTCAGAAAATTTATCCTCCGCATATCAAACCTCTTGTCAACAAACGCCCTCAGATGGCGCAAAACTTGGAATTCATGAAACCACATATTTCATGGAAATCATAACTACAATAAAAGGGTGGTTCCAAGCCTTTATCAGGCCCTTTATCAAAGAATGGATCAAAAGCGGTCTCTTTGAGAGGTGGAGGTTTCCCTCCCTCCTCTCCTGGTGGCTCCAAGTTATTTATAAAATAATACTCATTTATTGATTGACATGACTATTTTGCCAGTTTGGCCATGCAAAAAGTTAATCTTTGATGAAGACACTATGCAGCTGGTCCCAAGTCTGGAGGTGGTGGTGAGGATTGCTGTCCAACCACCTCTGTGTATCATCTCTCAATGGGAAAGGAAAATGCATCATTCGCACCTGATCATCAGCTACTCCAGGTATTTTGAACGTCTGGCACATCCTTAGGAAGTGTGTAATATGTGTCACTGGATCTTCAGAAGGTCCTCCTTCAAATTGATTGTTTGACACCATGCTTATCACCGCCGGTTTGATCTCGTAGCGGTTTGCAGTAATTCCAGACATTTGAATGTTGTGACATTCTGAAATCTATGGGGTAAGGAAATCTGCAATGGTTTGTCCCTGGTAGAGCGGATTATTGTGTGGAACGTAAGCATTGGGTGGAGGCACCTGCTGTCTAGGCTGGAAAGTTGGTTGTAGCTGAGCAAGCGGTATTTGGGTTGGTTGTGGTACTGATTGGGATGAGGAATCTGGTACTTGGGTTGATTTTGGAATGTAGGTTGAGTGACTGGGGGTGGGTTCTGTCTTGGCTGGAAGACGGAAATATTTTGCCTTGCTCCTTGCATCCCATAAACTTGATTTTGAAAATTGGTTTCAGGAGCAGTAGAGGTATTTTGAAAAAGTTGGAATAATGGAGGGAGGTTAAATTGTGGTGAAGGCTGATTTTAGGAAAAGGTTAGAGTGCGGTAGTTTTGAAAACCTGGAGGGTTTCTAGGTGAAATTGGCGGGGTAGATTGTGGAGTAGTGTTATAGTAGAAATCTGGCTGAGAAATCTAGCTTTTGCTCTCGTTGAGCCTTGAGGTTCTGTCTAGCGAGCTTTCCAATCTCAAGATTAAGACGGATTAATTGTTCTCCCCTCTTAGAGCGTGTTTGCATAAACAGGTCTGACCTGCAAGGTTAGCAGACAAAAAAAATTCTACGAAAAACTAAAAACATATCGCTAAGTCTAATTAACCCTTAAAACCGACACCGTCTCCAGCGGATCGATGCTTCAATACACTACAGGCACGACGTGCGTCCCTTGCACGGCACGACCGTGCCTGGGTTCCAGCGACTTGGTGTCTCGATACACTACAGGCACGGCGTGCGTCCCTTCCCAGGCACGGCCGTGCCTGGCTTTTTTTCATCGCGTAGTTATCTTCTAGACACGCGCGGCGTGCCTGGCTGCTGGGCACGGCCGTCGTGACCTTTTCTTCATCATTCTCTTCGTTTCTTCTTCCAAATGCTCTCGAGTGCTCCCGAATCGATCCGAAAGGTCTTCTCTTCATCAATTCTTCACCGTGAACCTCCCGTAGACCTCCAAAATCCTCGAAACTCTCTTGAATGCTCATCAAGTCTTCTTGATTTCTTCTCAAGTGCCGGTGCCGGATCTAATTATCTCATTTTTGACTCCAAATAACATAAAACTCAAACCAGTGTCTGGTACACATAACTTGAGCTAAAATTGAGTTTTCTGACACCTAAAAGTTAGGGAAAACATCAAAAACCGATCCCAACACGCATCAAATGCGTGTTGTAATACAG